ATGCAAGAGCTAATTGACCTTTTTTGTTTTGATATGCGCAGTGTGGCAGAGGCTAAAAACTCAGCAAACTACGACGAGTTCTACGATGATGACGAGAAGGAGCTTATCGCCAGCATTGAGAAAAACTTTGTTACATTGTCACCTCCTGTCCTGCCTGGCTCAGTGATTTAACAGACACGCCCACGCATGCTAACACAGGTAAAACAAAACCTTTACCAGTCGTTTCGCTGCATAATGAAGTCGATTCGCTGAGAGTTGGGAGCAGCAGCAGCAGCAGCAGCAGTAGCGGTAGCGGTAGTTGTTGTAAAACTCTTACTTCTTTCTAATTACCTTATTGATCTTGATATTCAACAGCACTTGTCAGTGATAACACAAGAAGAAACCCGACGGCAGAAAAAAATATCAGGAACGCGAAGGTCACTATCAATAAGACGCCAAAGCAGGAAGGATTATTCAAACCTTTCTTGGTCGAGGAAAAGCTAGTTCGCTTCAGTGTTTTTTAGACTTTTTTTATCAAGTTTAAGTGTCATGCAATTTACTTTTTTTACTTAAAAAAGTTCCAAGGTTTTGCCGTGAGCAAGTATATCGTAATATCCGAGAAGAATTGTATTTACGTTTCTAAAAATCTTTTCAGACCAAAAAGTTGATCTGGTCTGATGAATCATAGTTGTAATGAAGCGGATTTTCGTTTAGCTATCTGTTAAGCTCGAGTAGCAAAAAAATATCATTATGACAGAGCCTCAACCATAGTAGTCCTCTCTGCTGCCGCCAGCTCGACATAAAATAGCGTTAAAGAAAACTTCTCTGATGTCCAAGGCGACACAGCCTTGTCGAAGGATAAAAAAGGAGACACACCTTGCCGTAACATGGACGTGTTATGGACGTGGACTGAGGGGGGAGGCTTTGTCTGCCAAAAACTGAATCAGTGGGGACATAACTTTGCCGAGGACTGATGAAAATAAGGATAAACCTTTACTGTCTGCTGAAGACGAATGTCACAAGACACACAGCAGCTTTGAAAAAAGAGACCTATAATCTCCTAAGATTTTTCCCTTCACCGTCTTGGATTTTCACTCGAGCATACTGAAGGAAACTTTCAAAAGGCCAGAGACAGTCAGTTAACCGAGGATATGGTATGTTTGTCTCTTATTGAAGTAAAAGTAGAAAACAAAAACGTTGTATGTCAACAAGAAATGCTTCAATGTCAACGAAAAAGTAATAAAAGAAATTGAACATGAGGGTTTTGTCTCTGCTGAACATTAAATAAAAAGGAAAATCAAATCAGGTTTCAGGGAAACTGGCTACCTACCCCTCCCCTCAGTCAATACTAACCCTTTAATACTTCTCACTTGGGGCAAAATGTTGGCTAAGGGGAGGGGTAGGTGGGCAGTTTCCCAGAAACCTACCACTGAATGCAATCCCCATCCTTGAAGATCAAGTTCCAGATGGCAGTTAGATGTCTATGGAGATTATGTCTCATAACCTAAAATGTAGAACTTTCTCCTTTTCCCATCATCAAGAAAGTTTCACCATCTGTAATGCATTTTCCAAAAACTGTTTTTCTTGGTACTGCAACTGCAATGCAAGTCGCATATTGACTGACAAATTATTATGACTCATTAAATGGGCAGCAATGCCTTTGTCAGCTTCCTGATAAGACTGTAACACACTTTCAATTAAGCATTTAATCCAATGCGATACTCTCAACTCTACTTCTTTGCCAAGACTCTCTCCAGTCAGAACTCTATGCCAGTCTTTTTTGAAGTTATCTTCATCCATTGCAAGAATTCTTAACAAAACTAGGGCACTCCAAGACAAGCCATTTTCCTCAGAACAGCAGAGGTCCTTATCCAGTTGGTTACATGAAATTAATTCCCTCTTCCTTTGTGAAATTCCACACATTTCAGGCATCACAAGCGAGAATACTAAATCTTTTGAGAATGGCACTGTATTGTGCATGTTTTTGGGTAGAATGAAGCCATATTCCATAAGCAACTTTTGGTTGTCATGGGGACCATAGTTTATGAATACCTGGGTACTCTTGTTGTATCCTGATAAAGTGCGAATTTCATAACAGTCATTTTCTTGGTTGAAGCCAGCTTGAACCTGGAAGGTATATCACAAAACATTACCTCTAGGTCATTTTGTTATAATTACCCACTCTTTTTGACAAATGTGAGTATAATAATATTATTATTTACATAAACTAATAAGTTATAAGAGAAACTCAAGAGCCCAGAGGCCCACCCAATAAGATCATATCTCAGTTTCACAAGCGTTAGCTACCCTCTCAAAATAATGCTGGCAGTAAGTTCAGGATACTCACTGACACATCTGATTTTACAACCCTAATAAACCTTGTTTGATTTGTCTTATAAAAACATGCCATTGTCAAATGGTGAAAAGAAAAAAAGGCTTAAGGGCTGAGAGAGGGAAACAGTTACTATGGTCAAAAGTTATGATTAATGGTAGGACAGCATCATCCTCACATGGTCATGGGAAGTCTGCTTAAAGATGATCATATATTAGGTGACATAATATAGTGCCGTTTTCTACCATTTCTAATAGCACCTCTTACACTTGACAAATTCTCCCTTAAGCAAGACCCTTTGAAACCCTCTGGAAGAAAAGTCTGAAGTGTCAGCTGTCTCTTAGCCCCACCCTCCAACTAAAAGGCGATAGAGACACCTGGCCTAGCTGGGCCTGGCTGTCTATAGATGGTTTTCACAGTGACGTCATCAAACTGTTAAGTCAAAACGGCGAGGTTTTACGAATTCTTATTTAGACTAGGTTGAAGATAAACAAAAAATAAATCTATGTTCAAGTTTCCATTCCCGTAGCATGTTTCATTTCGAAAATACAGCAATACGAACTTCCGAGTTTTCACAGTGCGTGACACCAAAACAGGAATGCTGTCTCGTTGAAAAAAGTCTCTCCTCTTGATTTTCAGCAGTATAAC